GAAGACCAGAAGAGTTGTGGGATAACATCAAGAACACCGTATGTGAAGAGAGCAAAAAGACAAGAAGGAAAAGATCAAAATGGATGTCAGAAGAGACTCTGAAACTTGCTCTCCAGTGTGGAGATGCTAAAGTAAATGGAAGAATTGAAGAGGTTCAAAAGCTGAACAGAAAATTTCAAAGATCAGCTCAAGAAGATAAAGCCAAATACTATAATAAAATATGCAAAGAAAACAACAACAACAACAACAACAACAAAACTAGTAGATAGTACCCGTTCAATTGAGCTATGATAGCTTGATGATCAGAACTCGACTAGAGGAAGACTTAAAAAAAATTTTTTTTTGATAAAGGAAACAAGTGTAAATTGCTACAATTTGATGACCTATACTTATGGATGTGTTGTTGTTGTTATGTGCCATGGAGTCGGTTTTGACTCATAGCGACCCTGCACAGGGTTTCCAAGGCTGTAAATCTTTAAGGGAGCAGAAAGCCCCGTCTTTCTCCCACGGAACAGCTGGTAGTTTCGAACTGCTGACCGTGCGGCTCGCAGCCCGATTCGTAACCACTACACTAATAGATCAAAATAACAACTAAGAGGGAAGGAGTCTTCACATCAAGGGTCTCTCCTATCCACTCTGTAGGGAGGGTTGATAGGGACGAGAACTTAGACTTTGGCTACCTAAAATGGGGAGGAGGGGTGTTATAAAGGCACAAAGTTGATTGGCTTACAAGTTTTCAATAGGCAGTTTAATTTCAGAGTTACAGGGAGAAGGTAGAATCCCCACTGAATAGTTTTCATCTTATCTAGATGGGTCTAGTTGAAAGGAGATGGGGATAAGATTCTTATGATTCAATAGTGAGTAATTGTTATCATGACTAACTGCGATGGTCACAATTGTAAAGGTAGAAGTTTTGTAACCAAATGGGGGGAGTAGTTAATCTTACAGTCCAGGAGCAGAAGACCCTAGAACCATCAAGGGAGAAGAGCACAAGCAGAATGTGAGACCCTATCCAGAGAAGCAGCAACTTCAGAGATGGAGGCAGAGATGGAGCACATGCAGAGATAGAGCAGCTGAGGACTCTAGACTCATGGAAAGAGAAAGGCTGTGTGCTGATGGCCAGAAGGCAAGCTTGCAGAATGTGCCCTTTGGTTGTTTAAATTACTATATATTCCTGAATATTTTTGTATCCGCCCCCCATAACAAAACAAACAAACAAACAAACAAAAATCCAGAGGGAATAGAAGCAAGTACTGTTGAATGATGATGCACAGAGGAGATTATAATCATTGCAATGAAACAATGAGTATAAAACAATGTTCTTCCATGTAAATTATCACTCAGTTCACAATAAAAACTTAAAAACAAAAAACATATCAACCTTACCAAAATCCATATGGCATCATTAAAACAAAGCTCTTAAATGCATAAAAGACTGTCATTCTCAAATCCCTTCTGATGCTTCTAACAGCCTTGAAGAAGTGAGGATGACATGAAACTGAGGCTCAGGGATGGCAAGGGGCTTGTCTAAGGTTGGGTGGCTGAGGATGCTGTGTCTACGTCCATTGTTCTCACCCCATAACTTGCTCCAGACATACTCCCAATGTCGTGAGGACAACAGAGGCATGAGAGGAAGAGCTGAGTTCAGCGCCCACAATACTCAAGCAGATATAGGGGTCCCATCCCACCTCCAGTTACTCTTCTGGGAAAGGTCCTCCCCACCCTCACTGCCTATTAACCCCTACTCCTCCTCATTTCCCAGGAAAACATGCTTGGCCCCCAGTTAGGTCAAGTTTCTTACCTATGTGCTCTTGTAGAAACAAGTTTCTTTAGTTCAGAGTATTTATCTCAATTTCTTCTTACAAATATAGTCACTTAAATGACTATGTGATGCGCTTCACAAAAGTCCATGTAAAAATGGAATTGAAAGATAATGGGGGGGAAATAATAGTAAATAGATAGATAATAGAATTTTCCCCTGAGCTTTTTGAAGGCCCCTCCTACAATTCGTCTCCAGACTAAACCAGACAGGCTACTGGGAGTGGTGAGAACTGGAGCAAGCTAGAGGGTTCCTGCTCAGTCTAAGGCATGCAATTTCAGCCCATCATTGCAATGCAGAGATTCAATGCAGTTTTGCCAGAGTGATCTGATTTTCAAATAAACCAGAAATTCAAAAATTTAGAGGAAATTTCCTGATTTTTAAATCTTTCATATACTTTTTAAGTTTGTATAGAGCAATCAAAACCTGTCTGGGGAGAAGATTTTACTCACAATCTACACATTTGCACCCTCTAGTTGGACTTTAAGTTCCTCAATAGCAAACACCAGGCCTGCTTTGGTTACCACTATATCCTCGGAGTCTAGTTCTGTCCTCTGGTCCTAGTATAAGAACCTGGCACAGAAAAGACATTTATTTTTTGTGGAATACTTGAGTGGATGGATACATGCATGCATGGACTCATGGATGTGTAGGTGGATGAATGAGTAAGTATTTCAGAATGCCTACCTGGGAACTGCCCATGGGCATGGTGTGGCCAGCCCTCTACTTACCAGAGTCCTGACCCTTCTTCTTCTTCCCTGTAGAGAATCCATGTCTGGGGGAGGTAACCAGAGAGGTGATCCGCCGCCAAAAAGGCTATACCTCATGTGCCACAGCCTCCAAAGTGCCCGTAATGGAATGTCGCGGGGGCTGTGGGTCTCAGTGCTGCCAGCCAACCCGCAGCAAGCGGAGGAAATATGTCTTCCAGTGCACGGACGGCTCCTCGTTCGTGGAAGAGGTGGAGAGACACTTAGAGTGTGGCTGCCGCCCATGTTCCTAAGCCCCTCTGCCCAGCTGCCTGCTGCCTCTCAGACTCCAGCTTGTAAGGTTGGGACAGCAACACGGAACCCCTTTGAGAGTCAGAATGAGGAAAAAGCAGCTGGAGAGGAAGCAAAAAGAAGAAAAGAATATTAAGTATATTGTAAAATAAACAAAAAATAGAACTTATTTTTATTATGGAAAGTGACTATTTTCATCTTCTATTATATAAATATATCACACCGTCTTGAGTATATGTACCATATAGTGAGTTATTTTTACTGAGTTTTTGTTTCGTGTTGTGTATTTGTCGTGTTTTTATAAACAGCTGTTTAAAATTTTAAGAAAAAACAAAGACTAATAAAAGTGTTTTGAAATGAAAGAATAAGAATAAAGAAGTCACAGACTATCTGAGGAAGAAGAAGGAAGTTTTTATGTTTATGAAACACTATCATGCCAACAGAAACTAAGATCTGCTTACTGAACTCAGGAAAAGGAATAAGAGGAAGAGAGAGAGAAGGAAAGGTTCTTTATTTCCTCTTGTTTTAATCCTCCCGTCCCTTTATTTTTCTTCTGCCTTAAACACTCTGTTCTTATACGACTGCTGGTTGACAGTGCCCAAGCTGCCCAGGAAAAACTACCACATAAAGTAGATTCTGCCCTGGTCTGCCCCAGGCTCCCCCAGTAGCATCTAGGTCTTCTGGGAACAGCTGCTGGTTTCCTGACCTGTCCCCCATGAGCAGCCTCCTCCTCGGTGAGGTAGGGGAAGTGATTACCCTGTTTCCTCAGCCCCAGTGACTTAGAGAGTTCCGAGCTACCATCCTCTGTCAACCACCTTCCTGTGGAAATGCAATACTAGGAGAGTGAGCAACCAGGGCAGCTGAAATGAGGAAGGCCTAGAGCCACACCTGTCCACAGCACTGGGGGAGGTCTGAGTCCAGAAGGTTCTAAAGGCTTTTGCTATGGGTCAGGCTTCTACCACCATTAAGAAAGACCCTTTTCCAACCTGTTGTCCTCTTGACTTTGCAGTGTTGTTGTTGTTAAGTGTTGTTTAGTCAGTTCAGACGCATACCAACCCTGTATACTGTTTCCAAAAAAAACAGTTGGTGGGTTTGAACTGCAGGCCTTGCAGTTAGCAGTCCAGTGCCTATCCTACAGCGCCACACCAGGACTCCATTGTACATAACACAATATCACAACTTATTCATACAACCCCCACCGCACAGGAAGGGTAAAGTAGTATAGTCCCTAAGAACTGGAGAGGCTCTGTAACCTGCCTTAAGCCACAGGAAGAACCAGGCCTGTAGGCCACAACTCAAAGCTCAAGATTTTTTTCCCCAAGACACAATAAGTGTGAGAGATAAGCAGTCTGTTTTCTACTCGAAAGGAAAAGCTAATGTTTTTTTTCCTGAGATTGTTCCTCCTCTTGTTCTACCTAGTTCATTCCTTGTTCTGTCTTCCCAGTATTCAGGAAGAGTCTAGAAAGTGGGATTTATCAAGGCAATATGGACAGAGGCAGGCATTCCAGTCTTCTAAGTCTAAGAACTGAACATTCCTTCCTAAAGGGGCCACCCTGCCACCTCTCTCTATCTCTCTCTCCCCTGCCCGCTGTCACACATTAGTTGCCCAGGGTCTCAGCTGTTGAAACAAATTCCCTCTCAGATCTGTCTCTCGTCCTCCATAGAATATCTGCAACAGAAGTTTCAGGGAGTGTCCCCAGTGAAGCCCAGTTGTTATGAGAGGACCTGTAGAAGGCCAAAGGTACAAAGAATAAAGGATAAAGAAACAAGAGGAAGATGGAAGGTAGGGTAGAAGGAAAAATCTGAAGGGAAGAAACAAAGTGGGATGATGAGAGGAGAGAGGGCAGGGTATCGCCTGAGTTCTCTAGTGATGCTATAACAAAAAGACCACCAGTGGAGGCCTTAACAACCAGAAATCTATTCTCTCTCAGTCTGGGAAGCTACAAGTTCAAATTCACAGTATCATCTTTAGAGGAAGTCGTTCTTTCCTTCTCGGCTCTATAGAAAGGTTCCTTGTCTCCTTCTAGCATATGTGGGCCCAATGTTCCTAGGAGATCTCCATGTGTATTGGCATCTATTTTCTCTTAAATCTTAGAGGTTCTTGATACAGAGACCCCTGGGTCCAATGAACATGCTCCACTCCTGGCTCTTATTTCTTAGTGGTACTGAAGCCCCTCCCTCTCTGCTCTCCTTTTATCTCTTACTCCACTTTTATCTTCCCACACTTCAGAGAAACTCCACTAACATCAGATCAGAGCTGTGACAAGTGATTGGCTGATCACATCCGCTCACATCGTGAGATGATGACATCATTACATAACTGCCAAGCCACTGAGTATCATGGTCCAGCCAAGTTAACATGTATTTTGGGGGGACACAATTCAATCTGTAACAGATATGATGGAGGAATCCATTTAAAAATATACATGTTGACTTACACAAGAATTATAGATTTGTTTTAAATATTAATAACTAGCATTGATTTAGGACTTACCTATATGATACAGTAAGGAGCTCTGGTAGCATAGTGGTTACAAATCGGGCTGTAAACCTCAAGGTCAACAGTTAGAAACTACCAGCTGTTCCACGGGAGAAAGAAGAGGCTTTCTGCTCCCGTAAAGATTTACAGCCTCAGAAACTCTGTATAGGGTCGCTGTGAGTCGGAACCAAGTCCACAGCACATCACCACCACCATATGATACAGTGGAGTCCTGGTATGGTGCTCTAGGATAAGCATTGGACTGCTAACTGCTAAGTCAGCAGTTCAAACCCACCATTCACTCCTCAGAAATCCTATATAGAGCCACTATGAGTTAGAACTGACTTGTTGGCACTTAACAACAACAACGTATGATATACCAGCCACCATTCTAATTGCTTTTTATATAGGCTTTTATATATAGGATTTCTGTCCCTATAAAGATTTATAGCCTCGTAAACCCTTTACGGAGTCTTGGTGTGGCTCTGTGGGTTAATGCACCAGACTGCAAAGCCGTTTGAACTGTAAGGTCGGTGGTTCAAGCTCACCAAATGCTCCTTGGAAACCCTACACAGGGTTGCTATGGGTCGGAACTGACTCAAGGGAACTTAACAACAACAAACCTTTTACAGGGTCTCTATGAGTTAGAACTGACTCAACAACACTGTAACAGCAACAACATAGTAGAGGCATTATTAACCCTTTTCACAGTTGAGTAAACTGAGACACAGAGAAGTTAAAGAACTTGCTCAAGACTACACATCTAATACACTGCAGAACCTGGATCTCAGTCCAGGCTAGCTGGCTCCAGAATTTTCTCACTTAAGCACTAAACCATATTGTTCTTATGGGAAAGAAACATGTCTCACTGCTAAGAAACCTCTAGCCTGGGACAGAAATGGATAATTGCTTTATTATATAATGAGTTCTCTAATGTCAGTATAAGCAAAGGAACTGGCTATCTAGAACAAGGAAATCCCAACCCTGAATTTTGAAGGATACACAGGAGTTTGCTAGGGAGGCATTAGACATTCCAGGAAAGGGTCTATAAAAAGCAGTGAACTATGAGGGTATGGCATGTTTGGGAGCAGTCAGAGGACATTTAGGCAGGGCCAAGGCTTGAGACAGACCCTCCCACAACTCCTGGTAGACCAGAAGAGGGTCCTTTTCCTTCCTCCTGCACAGCCCCCTTTCCAGGTGCTCTGCTGGGCCACGAAGAGTGATCTGGCTTGGAGGCACTTTCCCGTGATTTCCAGTTGGCCAAAGGAAAACTCTTGGGGAAAGCTGATGAGAGACACCAACTAGCCAGGACCAGTGAAAGCAGAATTGAGCATTTGGCAATGTTTATTTCTCTAACTCAACAACAGATTCTAATAGAATGTACCCAATTTTTTTACTTTTTTTTTTTTTTTAACTTTATTGTGAATTGAGTGAAGGTTTACAGACATGATCATCAGTTTTAGATTCAACAAATCATACACTTTGTTTCATCTCTACTTAAGACTTTTTAAAAAGCAGTGTTACAGTGCCACTTCCCCTGTATGGAATAAACAATGTGCATTTTTTTCAACAGACTGTCATATTCTGATGTCATTAAAATAAACAGATGGGTCACAGAGGAGCTATCAGATGCTCTTGTGAGTAACCATAACTCAGCCTGCTCCATGGTGTGCTTTATTTTTACCACTGACCTTCACCCTTCCTGCGACAGGAATTACTACATTTATGGGGTTTGGACAAGTCTAGTGCAGACTTAGCCCAAAACAATTAGTGTCTTGGACCATGAAGTAGGAGAAATGCATCCACAGCTTCCCAGACATGTGGAAGAGAAGACTCAACACATGGCTTAGGGTCTGCAGGGATATGGTTTGTATATCCACAGACTGGATCCCAAGAGGCATAGGGGAGAAAGCCACACCAGTTCAGGGGAAGAGAATGCTTATTAAGATATGAAGGAATATTCCTCCAGGTACTCCTCTGCCTAATTAAATTCCTCTCTTCATTCATTCATTCAGCAAGCATTACAGGGTTGATATGGGTTGGAACCAACTCGACGCCACTTAACAACAACAACAACAAATGTATCAAGTGCAGAAAGGTCAGCAGTTCAAACCCACCAGCCACTCCTCCGAAACCCTATACAGGGTCACTGTGAGTCAGAACCAAATCAACAGCACTTAGCAACAGTGTATCAAGTGCAGAGTCCTGGTGTGGTGCTCTAGGATCAGCACTGGACTCCTACCCATAAGGTTGGTGGTTCAACACCAGCCACTCCTCAGAAACCCTATACAGAGTCACTCTGAGTTGGAACCGACTCTGTGACAGTTAACAACAACATGTGTCAAGTGCAGCAGTAATGGGCTCAAATGTAACAATAATTGTGAGGATGGCTCAGAACTAGGCAGTGTTTCATTCTGTTGTACATAGGGTCACTATGAGTTGGAACTGAATTGAAGGCACCTAACAACAACAACAACAACAATGCACCAAGTACTGATCTAGGCACTGAAGAATACAGTGATGAGCAAGAAAAAGTCCTTGTTCTCCTAGAGCTTAAACTTTAACTGAGGGAGGGTATATGTGTCTACCAATAAATAAAGATGTCAGTACTAAGAGCTCTTTAAAGAGTCCTGGTATGGCGCTGTAGGATAAGCATGGAACTGCTAACCAAAAGTTTGCTAGTTCAAACT